GTGTGTGTGTGTGTGTGTGCAACTTACGTGAACACTCTTTATGGGGGGTGCTGGAGCTCATGTGGATGTTGTCTATCCAGATGTGTCCTCTGGTGCCGTGCACAAAGAAACCCTCCATCACAACCTAATGCAACCGACGAGGGAGGAGGAGTAGGAGGAAGAGGAGGAGAAAAGTTGGAAAAGAAGAGGAGGAAGAGGAAGATGGGGACAGGATGAAGGGGGGGCGAGGGGGGGAGGCAAATTGAGAATGGGGACAGGCAGCAGGAGGAGGAGAAAGTGGATAAAAAGTTAATACAGCGCCTGTGATTTCAAAGTTGCACTCAGCGCTCGCAATCATCCTCCCGTTCCCTGCAAGCTTCTTCGGCTGACTTTTTTATGAGAACATTAACGGCTTGTGATGTCTCTGACAAATGCACAGCGATCCCCAAACAATCACGCAGCCAATAGGGACAATATGAAGACAAACCTGGCTTAAGGTGAAAGAGAGGGAAACTAATGTTTTCATGCACCCAGAAGAATATGTCTCATTCTAACCTACTCTGACAAAGACATTAAAGACACATTTCAGTTTCTGGGGAGACAATAAAACTTAATTCCAGTTCTTATTTCAGCTAAAAACGAAGTTTTATTACCTGGAAGTCTTTAGGAGAGCTAGGCAGGGCTGCGCGGCCCTCCTTCCACACAGGGCCCTGATCGTCCGTCAGGGTCCAGACCAGGGTCTCCTCATTGTGGGCGTCCCGCAGCAGGACCTTCAGGTGGCCCTGGGCCTCGCCCCATAGCTGGTAGGAGAAGACAAGGCAGAGGGGCCCGGTTTTCGCTGCCACCGTGGGGCTCACGAGGCGGGCGCGCTGATGCTCCGTCTTCAGGCTGGTGTCCAGGTAGAGATAGCTGTTGAGCTCTGGAGAAGGGGAGCGAGACAGATGAGGTCATAAATCAAGAAAAAAACTAAATCCAATGGCATTGGAGGTTTTAACAATGTGCAATTTCTAGTATTTCTAATTTTTAGTATTTTTAGCACATTGCCAGAAGTGAGCTGAGCTTTGTTTTAACCTTGAGTTAGCTGGTTGCTGCATTAAAATAAAAGTGAAAAAAGCTTGATTTAATGGGTTTTCATTTCAGCCCTCAAGGCATTAAAAGCTCGGAAATTTGAGAGGCTGTGTAGACTTTTGATATCCACTGTGAATGGATGCTGCTGCGATGACACACAACTGCCATCAACAATCATCACACACCCAGGCAGACTCTGACACATACATCCTCATGCTCATACTCTGAAACAAAAAGTAACAAGTAATCACCAGTTGCTTCACAGGAACGGAATCGCCATCGCACAATAGTCGCGCAAAACAATGGGGATATGACAAATATAAACACGCAGAAGAATAGGGTCTGGCGAGAGAGCGTCATTTGTACGTAAAGTGCAACCACAACTCCAGCCAAGACCCTCGGGGCCGATTCCTCTTCATTCCCTTCCAGGTAAATGACTACAACAACGGAAAAGTCTGACAAAATGCAAACCACTCCATTTGTTTACACCAGAGGATGTTTAGTTTGCAAATTGGATGCCGACATGAACTCCATTGTGAGGGAGTGAGATCGGTGAGCCGGCTGTACAGTATGCATGATTTTGTGTGTGTGTCTGTGTGTGAGAGAGGAACTCGATGAGGCGTCTGGTGAAGAATTTCTTAAGTGGGCCCTGTGGGAAAATGTCCAGTATCAACAATCTGCAGATTAAATCACCTGCTTTATCATGGAGATGTATACATGTGGGTGTGTATCTCAGGGAGTTTTTTGTTTCCCAGTATAATCACAAATTTTCCTCATCTTCCTCTCACCTGAAATACGTTACAATAGCATCCAGTGAGGGTGTGTGTGTTTGTGTGTTTGTGTGTGTGTG